TCATTTTTAGCGTCAAAACAGATCACATGATCAAAATTGATGCTTGGTATTTGTCAATTTTGATCATGTGATCTGTTTTAACGCTAAAAATGAGAGTGAAGCGTCAGTATAAAAAGGCAGCTTAAAGCCGCAAAAGAGGTATGTATGTATGTACATACTCCAAATTCACGAAAATCTCCAGTCTGATCATTTTTCTTTCGAAAGAACCGTTTTCAACTATCTCTCTCGATTTCGTACCGTCATTTCTCGACCTTTCGATGTATCAATGGTTCCGCGCATAACATTACCCTATAAGCAAATTGTGGAAAGAATAAAAAAAATTAAATTAATTGCATACATGTATATTATGAATAATTGATGAAAATTTCGCAATAATTGCACTAAGATAATTCGCCATAGTGTGGCAATTTTGTTAACATAACATTTCTAATTTTTTTTCTAAATAATAGATATATGTTAAGAATAAAATAAATTCAAATATATTATTACATATACATATATATATACCAGACCAACACAATATATTAAATTCGCGAGGCCAATGAATGGTCATAGCAGAATGCACTCACAAAATGAAAAATAATAACAATAGGCAGTTTGTGGAATTGAAATATATACATAAAAGCACATGAAAATAAATTCAACAAAATAATTTGAACATAAATAATTTATAATTATTAAAAAAAATATGTTTGAATCTTTACTTAAAATTTTTCCATGCTGAATGTGTAATATTTTATATATTTCAGTATTTCTATATTATACTTTAGAAATAATTATGCATTTTTATAAACACGTATATATGAATTAATCTGATTCTTTTAGTGAACAATTATATTTCTAAACGTTTTAAACATACAGCTAAAACATATTTTTTTTCAATTCGAACATTTTTCCAAATTTAATTTTACAAACACCGCTAAAATAATTATAATTTGCTTTATCATTAATCATTATTCTTAATTTGCCGAAATACTATTTATTTCGAAATTTATTGCGCATAAACATTGCAGTTATCAATTATATTTTAATTACAAAAGATCAATGTTTCTACATTTATATATTTTTATAAATATATACCTATAATTGCAAATCACATTTATGCAAAATTTCGTCAGATAATTTCACAAATTTTTTCCCCATGAAGGGAGAGCAACCCTTTCAGAAAACAAATTAATGTTTTTTATTTTTGTTCTCATAACTTGCACGATTATATTATTTGAAGCACAAAATAACTATATACTTAAAGTTATTCAATTAGATTCTAAAAATACCAATGCAAATATATATATACATATATATATATATATATATATATATATTTATATATATATATATATTGTGTCGGAAAGCTCGAAAGATTAACATCGCATAATATAAAATATTTCTGGAAGAAAACTTTAACTTTACATGAAATTCGATCTAAAGAATTTTCAATTACGTGAAATCACTATAATGCTAAATATTTTTCAGCGAACTGATTCTACTATTTTAGTACTCATTAAATAATTACTAATTTGCATACGAATATAAATAAGTGAAGTAAGTCCTAATTAGGGTAACGAATTTTTACAAAATTATATTTAAATAAATAAAAATTATTCACTTTTCGGGACGCACGAGAGAATTCGAATGCGCGGTGGACGCGACAACGTCGCATCCCCATCATTGGCCGGCGATCGGCTCTGGTGGCGACCGCGTGCAACTACCGTCGGCACCCAGACGCAATAAGTGGCGGACGCAACACGTGAACGAATTGCCCACGAGTCTCGCGATAAATGTCATGCCGAGCGGTCTTCTGACAATCTCACGTTGCGTTCGCGCTAGCTGATGACGGACGACCCCGAGATTCACGCATAAACGGTCCGCCTGTGAAAAATCAGCCGTACACTGGTTCTGCTCTCCGGTGACGACGACGACGACGACGACGACGTCGTGTCCCGTCCCTGTCAGAATGCGTGTCGACACGTGCATCCTACTGCTCTACTTGCCGCTCGCGATTTTCGGCGGCGGCGAAAAAAACGAGAGCGCCTTCATAGCGACGCACGAGTGGCAGACGGTGAAGAAGGGTGAGTATCCCGCGGGACTACTTTATACGCCGATCAAGATCCGTCTTTCCGTTCGACGCACCACGTCAGTCAAATCCGCCCTACGTGCGAAAATTCCCTTCCGCGGCGAAAACGTGATGCCTCTGGTCTGGACACCGTTCCCAGAAAACGGAAGTAAAATTTTCGGAGATTATTCCGGATTCGTTTTAAGTAAGGAATAGTGGAGGAATTGTGTGTAGTCATCTGCGATCGAGTGCCACCAGTGACGTACACATTCGGATTGGATTACGTGGTCCAAAAGCCAATAGTTTCGAGAAATTAAATTTTTCTTCCCGTCATTTCGAATTACGTTACAATAATTTCTGTTTCTTTTTTAATAAACAGTAAAATTTTTTCCGAAACTTTTGAAATGTATGTTTGAATATTTTAGGATTTATTTATAAATATTTGGAAAAACTCCAAGAATTTTTTGAATGAATAATTAATATTCATGAGAATGCTTGTGCTTTTTAATAAAATTAATATGTATGATGTTAAATTACAAAGAATAAAATTAATTTTATTTCATAAATACATTTTAATATGTAGAATTAAAAATTTAATTAAAAATATAAACATAAATACTATGCTGATAATAAGTAGAGTAATAAAGATCTAATTTATCAGGAATTCCAATTCCCAAGGGACTTCATGTGAGACATAATTTTGCAACTGGAGTGACAGAAGCTAAATTGATGGACGACACAGAAGAAGATGATGAAAATGCGAATCGATCAAATTCCAAGTCATTGACACTACATCCGGATAAATCGGTTTTGGAAAACGAAGAGCCGGATCCTGTGAAAATAAAAAAAGTTTCAGAATCTTTGAAATTTCCTATCGACGAATTGAAAGCGAGATTGAAAAAGCTTAAGCAAGAAGAAGCAGAAGATTTATCGAATATAAATGTAACTATTCTTTTCCTTTAAATTTTTTAAATATTTATGTTTTTAAATATTAAGTTTGTAATTATTATTTATTGGAAATAGGACAGATTAATCACATGAATGTTGTTGCATATGACAATTGTGCAATTATGTTTAAAGTTTCGTTTATTTGGCACCTCTAACAACATATTGCATCATCTCTATTATAGTATTGTAGATCTAGATTATAATAATTATTTATCTAGATATAAATTATTTTTTACTACAAGTTTTGAATTAATAAGTAAAAATTTAATAATCTGTTATATTTTTCTTTCTTTACCCTAGGATGAAGAATCCCGACCAAAAACTGAGAAGCGTTTTAAACGTTTTTATGAAACTTTGAAAGAAGAACTTAATGCTCTTAAAATCAATGTTACAAGCGATTCAGAATTATTAAAGAGGTTTTTCCAAAAGTTTCAATCTTATAAAAATAGTATCACTACAGGAACGTTAACCAACATAGAGATTGAAGAAGTATTGGACATTTTAAACAATTTAGAATATCTTCTTCATCAAATAGACAATGCTAAAATATTCTCAGACATGGATGGGTAAGTACAAATAAATTCAATTGAATTGGTGAATGTAAGAGGCAAGAGTTCAATTTTTTTCAAAAATTAGATTTCTTCTTATTGAACTTGAAATGAATAGATATGTTTTGAATGCAAATAAGACATTTGCCTCAGTTTCTAACAATCTAAAGTGGACGTTGAAAATGATCAATGAGTGCAGAAAGGATATGCTAGTTCTTGATTAGTTCTTAACTGTCTCTTTTTTCTTAAATTCTTTAATTTTTATATAATGTAAATTTCAAAGTTTTTGTGTTGTGTTTTGGAATTTTGTTCCAAACAAGGTTGAGTAATACCTTTTTTCATCCTTTATGATTTCTTACATCAGAAATATTGTTTATCACAGGTTATATATTTTTGAAAATAAAATGTTTGTAGTAGTTTTCATAAAATTTATGTTGATTTTTTACCAAGGTTGAATACAGAAAGGATATGAGTCTAAATATAACATTGATGTTTTTTATTTAACAAATATTTCAGGAGTCAGGAATATATCAAAAATATTAATAAATGTCATCTAAATTTCTAAAAGTAACTTATTTGTTAATTTTTTCAAAAACTAAAATTAAACAGTTTTTATTAATCCAGAAAAATTTGATAATCGTGGCTCATATGCTCATCGATTCAGTTTTTCTTTGACAACAGTTAACTAATATTTTAACCAATTTTTTTTTCCTTGCAGGCTGACTAAGATCATATCACCATGTCTCAATGGAACTAATAATGAAATAAAATCGGAAGCATTACGCCTTCTAGGAGCAGCCGCCCAATCAAATCCAAAAGTGCAAGCTAAGGCATTAGAAAATGATTTTATCCAAAAAGTATTACACGTCTTATCTACAAATAGTAAAATTGAAGTAAAATCCAGGTGTCTCTTTGCTCTAAGTGCCTTAATACGCCAATTTCCTGCTGCTCAGAAAGCTTGGATTGATCATGGTGGTTTGCAGTTACTTGGAAAGATTCTATACGACGATCAATTACAGATACAAATGAAAGCAATGAAGCTAATTAACGATTTAACAATCGAAAGACGAAATTTAGAAGAGATCTACGATGCTGAACAGCGTCAGCAGAAAATGAGAGAGTACGCTATTACAGATTTCGAGCTAAAATTACTGAGGCACGATTACTGTAAACTGCTAAGCAATTTAATGGTAAAGTGCTTCAAAGAAAAGTTAACTGGCCAATTTAGCATAGAAAATAACGATTTTCTCGAAGTAGTCTCAGACAGTATGATCACAGTATCTCCTATTTGTAAAACTGAATTTAAGAACATTAAACTCTTGCTTTTACCTGTTATAGATAATCTCTTACAATTTTATCAAAATCCTAATATTAAACTCACTGTGGATGAAACTGATGTTTTAAAGAGTTTAATATTACTGATTGAGAGATTAAAAGTTACTATTTTTGAAGCACCTCATGATGAATTATGAATATGTTGTGTTAATATCTGAGGCAATTAAAAATATGTGAAAGTATATCAAAGACTATAAACTAAATTCTTACGTTAATAGATATGCAATCATGTGCAATAGCATAGGGCTTACTTAATGTGCATTTGTTTTAGTACCATGTAAAAAGTTGTGAAAAGAAAATTTAAAAAAATCATCGTCATCAGTAATTATTAATGTTGAAATAGAAAATATCTGCGGATGATTAATTACAATTTACAGATCTTAAGAAGAATTTAAACATAAAAAAATATTTTGTTATTCTAAACGTGTTTATTCTATCTCTACTGTAAATAGTTTGTACTTACAAAATTGATCGATGAAACGTGCTGGTTCTCGTCTCTTGTATCCAAAGTATGAGATACTAGTCATTAGATGTCAATTAAATTTTAATTCGTTATTTAAATGGCATATAGTTATATTTTCATTTGTAGCGATTTTTCCGCTGTAAGAGCTTTCTAACTTTGGCCTATCAAACAATTAAACTCGATTGTTTTAAACACAAGAGACGGGAACTTTTCATATTTATTATGCAGCTCAATTAATATTTCATCTCATGTATACCTTTCACAATTAAGTATGTGAGGAACAACAAAGAAAAATTCATTTGAAGAGTAAAACGACTGAAATATATGTGTACATAATATATGACTTTAGTTATCTGGCTGTCATATAGCAAATATGAATAACTGTTATGTTTCCTTCTGTTTTAGAAACAATTATTTAATAAATTATTTTGTACCGATTATACGCCATATGTGTGTTATTGTCTGAAAGTTCCTAGCATGTGTATTTAAATATAAAAAGAAGTAAAATATGAACAATCGCAGAATAATATATTTTATTTACAAATCATAGCGCATTAGAGATTACATAGATATGAACAGTTTTTTTTATGTATAACTGTATGATACATATAAAATATTTTTGTAAAAGATGTGAATTTTAACCAGTTCCCCAAATAGGGTCTCTATATTTACAGGGAAAGAGCACTCTTGTATCATGCATTCTGAATGAAATAATACCTTGCTTTTACCTGTTAAGTACAAGGATTGCGTTTATCTTGTGCAACTCAAAGTATGAATATTGCGCATGATACACGAGGCTACCGACAGAAAATTACAACAGCTAAATTCTTTCTGGAAGTTCCACTCGTCTTACAAATTGGAAATTTAACAAAGTTTATATCCCGTAGGTATATTTATCTAAATTTTATCTGAATTATATATATATATATATATATATATATATATATATATTTGACACGATACATAACTATGTCTTCTTTTGATATATTTCAATAAAAATATATTATCACCACACAATTGTTCTTAATGTCGAGTAGACATTAGATGAGTAGACAAAGATGTAAATATATGAATTTGAATTTCGGGGGACTTCCTTTCCTTTACTGCGAATATTTGTAACAAAATATAAGAATTTGATTATTTAATACTAAATAAAATGTAAAAGTATAGATGAAAAAACTAACATTATTAATTTTTCTTTATCTGGTTTACTTAGATTTTACATGATCAAAATCACGTCTATGCGCTATTTTACAAGTTGTATTAAACATATTAGAAAGGTTGTTATATCTACACTCGGAATTTATAAAATTCGAGAGCAAGAAAGAAAGGAGAGAATTTGTATATTATTTTATTACAATTAAGTGGCGATGAGCAGAAAGAAACTTATTTAACTTAAAATTTTCTCTTTATAGCCTCATGTATATACAATATTATCACCTTATTAATGACAAGATAACTGTTAATGACTCTCTGTTGTTCATTTGTATATACATACACATAAATATAAGAGTTCTATTGTAAAGCAATACTGATAGTCAGCACTGAAGTGTCATAAAATAACATTCTTTCTATAGTAACAAGACAATTAATCAATATCAGTTAAAAATTGAATAATTTGGGTTTTACAAACTTTATACGCAATAGTTTTATTATTTAAATTTTATATTTCTAAATTATAAAATTCAAAACACAATTTTAACTTTTTATCCGAATTAAATATTTGAAAATATGATTAATATGGAAATAGTTTATGGTTATAATTAACTTTACACTTGACTTGATTAATAATTTTTATAAAATACATGTCTTTATATTTTGATGCAAATATTCACAGCACAAAAATATCAGGAAAAATAAAAAAATTACATACTATATGTGTGTATACATATGTATACATGCATAAATATATATTATACATCTCATCTATATCATTATGAAAAATTGTCAATATTTTAAATTAAATTTTTAACTAGTATTGGATTGTTTTGTTATTAGAAAAAATTTTCGGTTACAGACTGAAAAATAATAGTCTTTTAATTGTGATAAACCTACCATATTTATGCATGTCTGTGGGTACGGTCAAGATGATACTATAAATGCTTTGAAGTATTTGATTGACCAATCAGAACAAAAATTTTACAAATTGACTAATCAGAAAATGCTTCAAAACATGCATTTGTAGCATCATCTTGACCGTACCCTATATATGAATTATATGAGATTTATAACAGTATTCATAATCAAGTCATTTTGCTTGTCTTTAATGCGATACGTAATTTAATTCTGATAAAATAATATATAAATTATCTTCCTTTTTGCTCTCGCTCATTCGCTCTCTCTCTCTCTCTCTCTCTCTCTTTATAGTATTTACTGAAAGAATGCAATAATCTCAGACTATAAATATTCCAGTGTTGAAAAATATTCCCAGATAGCAAAATGCTAACAATATGCCAACAGTATGCCAACAAATCATGATTGTAGAACAGATCCCTTATTCACAGTTATAATTCAAACTTACTTTCTGCCATTATGATTTGCCGGTCATAATGTAATAATAAAAATGCAGCAGGAATAGAGAACACCTTACCATCACGAGGATTTGTTCGTTTTCTGATATATTTCTAATGATATCAGACAAACAGTAGGTTATGCTCGGCTGTTGCTAGATTTCTATTAATACTATGCAACACATATTTACAATACATGCTTTTGGCAGATTCAGCTACCTGGGTTTTTAGTACAAAATTTTTTACAGTTGTTTAGCCCTCGTTATTTAATTTCGAGAAAATGGATCATCGAGGAACGAGAAACACTGACAATAAATGATGTTTTATAATTTAACAAAAATTATTTTCATTTACTCAAAATAATTATGATCATTTTGAGTAGCAAACCAAGATACAGCATCTTCAATAAATAATGTAAAAAGAAAATATTATACAGGGTGATCCAGAACACCCGGAGAAGCCGGCATCTACGTATTCCTCATAAATAAAAAACTGAATCAAAAATGTTAATAGCAAAATGTTGAGATGTCAATGGTTTGTGAATGATGAGCTGTTAAAACTGTCCAACCACAAGGCATTAAGAGCGCACCGTCAGGTGCGGCGCAGTTCTTTTTAAAATGATGTTGAATTTGCGATTGACTTCACATCAATTAAATTGGACTCAATTTAAGAATAAGAATAATAGAAGTTAATAAAGATTTCACATCTCCATTAACATCTATTACTCTTATTCTTAAATTGAGTCCAATTTAATTGATGTGAAGTCAATCGCAAATTCAATCATTTGAAAAAGACTGCACCGCACCTGACGGCGCGCTCTTAATGCCTTGTGGTTGGACAGTTTTAACAGCTCACCATTTACAAACCATTAACATCTCAACATTTTGCTATTAACATTTTCGACTTAGTTTTTCATGAGGAATACGTAGATGCCGGTTCTTCCGGGTGACCTGGATCACCCTGTATATAATTATGAAAAATTATTATATATAACTTTATGGCAACTTCAGTGTTCAGAGTATTGTACTGACACATAGCAAGACAATATAACTGTAATTTACATCAACACAATAGAATTTCTCTATGGAATTTCTTTTTAATGAAATATATTTGACCTAAATAAAGATCAATGCAGCCATGATAATAACTCCCAAAAGTAAAGCGCCAAGTTGTTTTAAAGATTCTTTTGTGTTCGTTTCTTTCAACAAATCGGGTAAGATGGTTACTAAACCAATATGTATGAATCCTCCTGCAGTCAACGGCAATATCCAATTGGTCCTTTCCTCTGAAAAAAAAAAAAAAAACAGATGCAAATTCATAAATTCTGTTCAATAAAAGAAATTATATATAATTATATGTAATAGATAATATTACATGTAAATTTGTTTACGGTACAGAAAGTGTTTTAAAAATTACTTGATACAAAGAAATAGGTAAAATAAATATCGAGAATAATGTCGAAATAAAATGTTTATAATTAAGCTAAGAGACGCAACTATATTATTATTATATTAATTTATCCATTATTTTTATCAAGTTTTTATACACTGTCTATGTTTCAAATTTTTTAAACTATTACTTACCTAAACTACCAGAAAAGGAGACGGCTGCCAAAGCACCAACGATTCCACCGCTAGCCGTGATTAACTGCGCCCGCGCAGCATCCCATCTGTTAAATCCGCTTCGTAATAGAATAGCGAAATCGCCAACCTCATGAGGTATTTCGTGCACCAAAATAGTGAACGTGCTAAGGGCACCTACGCGGAAGGAAATTAGGAACGATCCACCTACGGATAAACCGTGAGTAAAATTGTCGAGGAAGTTCATCAAAAGATTCAGGTATCCGGGGAAGGCCTTGGGATCGAAAAATTTGCGGAACAAGTCGAAAATTAATTTCTTTGCCCATGCGATCAAACGAATAACAATATTGCTCGGTGAGCGCACGCATGGTGAGTCAACACGTGAAATCGCCGATGTGAAGCCGTTAGTCTTCGCAAGTTTCTTCAAGCAGTTTTTCGCCTCGTCGACCAGCGGACCGTCGTTAGGACATTCGCTTGCTAATGCGGATTTCATAATGTCAGCATCTTTAAAACCGTTCTTTCGCGGATCTTTGATATTGTTTGCGATTTGCATAAACTCCATCTTACTTGGCTGTTTTTCCAGGAAATGTACCTATCGCAGAACGTATTTTCGATCATTAGATAACTATACTTTTAGATTTTAAATAACATTACAGCATAAAGTGTAATAACATTTTTATTTGCATTTACCTCGGCCGTATTTTTCAAGCCTTTTTTAAGGAAATTGTTCTTCCCAGTGTTCGTCATTGTAATACAATTATTATTATCCATCTCTTTTTCTTTATTTATTACATTCTTGATAGAAGCTTCATCAATCTGCTGTTCTGCAATAATCGGGGCTTCCTCGTTTATGGCAGCGATGAATTTTTCAATGATTACGAAGAACAGAAAGGCGGACAACACCCACAAGCCTGCGGGCGTAGACGCGTGATTATCTTTGGCTGTAAATAAAATACATAGAATGTAAATGTAGATCAGTTGAATAAAAATTTAAAAAGATAAAGCATTTTCGAGAATTAATCAAGTGTTACCAGTGATTATAATCACTCTATAAAATTTATTTAACTTTTATTGATTCATAATATCATAAGATCTATCCACAGATCTATCGCATAATTGTATTATTTGAGGATATATCTGTCACATCTTAAAACATTACCAAAAATATAAAACTGCTTATGTCTGAGTATCTGTGTAAAATTTGAGCACAATTCCTTTATTAGCTTAAGTTTAAAAGTCATTTGATTTTTGTTTGTATTGACTCAAATGTAAAATCATGTTTTTTGTAAATTTATTAGTAAATTTGATAAAGTAGTATTACGAATTAAATCGAATTTTTTTACATACATGGCCTGTCCCAAAAGTAATGAGACAATTTTTAATGGCCTAATCAGAATTGTCGGAGGGTGTGAATCTATTGAACGGGGCCTTTGGTGCGGAATGTCAGGTGTACAATCTGACCCTTCTCAGTTGCCTCTGAGCCTGACGTCCCGCACCAAAGGCCCCGTTTAATAGATTCACCCTCTGACAATTCTGATTAGGCCGCCAAAAACAGTCTCATTACTTTTGGGACAGACCATGTATATTAAGAAAACTCTAACAAATATTCGTGCAAAAATTCATTTGAATCCATTTACTCGTTTAAAGTATTTAAATAAATAACTGCAACAAAAGTTTGATTACTGCGCTGCACAAGCCATTATAAACCAAATTATTTATTTGGCTTCAAAGTGTATTAGGGGCATGATCAAAATTTTGACTAATTTTTTCGTAATTTTTTGTCGGTCTTTTTTAGCTGGTGTATTATATATAGCCAAAAAATATTCTTAATGAATATTTAGTTTGCTATTTAAATTACGTAACTTATCGTAACGGTTCTTTATATTTTTTCTAATGGTAACAAAGACACGAGAAATATAAAATAAGAGCTAGAAAATTTGCAATTCAAACCGAGCAATTTACACGGATATTACCAGTCCGCCGATCACCTCGAATTCCTAACGCGGTTCGGTCGGAAAGACATTTAATTTACGTGGACGCAGCTGGCAATTCAAATCTGCAACTGACGCACAATAGAATTCGAAACCGCCGCTTAAATCGTTCATAAAGCTCTCGGCAAATGCCCTTCGAGACCGCAGTCGTTCTCCGCTAACGTGCAGAACATTGCAAAACGCGTTCACGGCACATATCACTGATTTGTTGTTACAACAACGACAGAACATAAAAGACAAAATTTTTCAGAAAATAAATTTGAACTTGGATCATTAAAATTTTACAATATTAATTTTATAATGCAATTTTGATGTAAATAATTAATTGATTGTAGAGAAATAAGTGTAATCTTAATATAAAATATATAATCTTCTAAAAAATGTTTTTTTTTTCTTCATGTTCCTTATTTTTAAGATAATTTTAACAAAAGCAACAATATTTTACTTATGTCGTTGTTATAGAAAATGAGCGATATGTACTTAATAGAATATATCAATAGAACAATCCAGGAACATACCAGATATTCATGTAGCATATTCGCTATATCAGATTTCGTAATGACAAAAATATCAGGACAAAAGTTCATTAATGTAGAAACGTAGACTATATCTAGTCTACACTTGTTTTCTTCGTTAATGTTTCCTCTTAACGTCATTAGTTTTGCACGATATATACATACCGTTTTAATTATTAATTTATTAATAATTAAAACGGTGCACGAATGAATGTAAATCTTATACGTAATCAAACTTGTTTTTCTTTTTATACATGTATGCATGTATGTATGTATGTATATATATATATA